ATATCAGTTGAGATTAGTCACGCAGACAACATAGGTAAAAACAAAGCGAGAGCCCTTGGAGGAGAAATTTTCCGATTGCGCCATTGGACGCAATGAGCTTGAGGACCTTGTTTGTAATAAGTGTAGGTCCAGTGTCGGTGGTCAAATGCTGAAGCTTTTTGCTTCAATGCATATGCTCGAGCCCCACCACCATCATCCAACTTACTCCTTTTAGTTGTATCATCCGACAGCTTTTTGTTTGGCTGCTTCCCCTCTTTGAAAATTGATTGAACTGTACTGACCCACAGAAAACAAGACCGTAACACTGATTTGGACTGACCGTCCTTCAGAATTTACCATCACCTGCAAGCCTCAGTTTATCCGATCAACCTTAGCCTCGGAAGCACTTGAGTTTCCCTCTTATTCAAGCTCATCAGTAGTGCACATTTACCTCCCCGTCCGGTCATTGAAGTTTACCTGACGAGTTGCCACATGATTTAGTGCATTCATCGAACTGTGGTCGAAATGAACCGTAGTTAACGGTTCCGTTCCATTATTTCTTTAGTTATTGCCAATCTAACGACGTGTCCCGTTCACAGTGAAGTACATGGGAGCATTCATAGAATCCTGATTAATAAATTCAGGAGAATTGCATCATTTGGTTTATATAACAACTGAGATGCACGCATTCAAATACAATCAAGTTACCGATTCGGGTGTTCTGTATCTTTCTAATTTCAAGCTATTCTGATATCGGGTTGCGATGTCCCTGTATCAGCTTATGATGTCCCGGAATTAATTTGCTACATATTTAGAACCTGAACATCTTTGAGTGGATACAGAGTTCACTCATATATGAGTTCAGCTTTCTCGTGCCTAATCAGGTTGTAATGATTGTAGTAGTAGTAATATTACGCACGGAACGCGGAGCACGAACCACGCAGTACGAATCTGGGTCTGAGTTTTCAGGAAGAATGTAAAGAATTTAAGTATTCCAATCTCCGATAACCACCGCTCCAACTGCGAAAAGTGCAGAGCATTTTGGGAAGGAACGAGTGATCACGGGCACATTGGAAGATGATGTAAAAACATTTGTGGCTTCAAATGGGTCGATTGATTTTTGCTTGATGAATAGTCGATGCAGAGAGAGGAGGGAAAAGAATGAGTTCGTGAATGGTAATCGTGCTTTTCGATTTGACCCAGTTTCGCCAGATTAAAATGAAAATGAACCACAGTTGAATTTTCTATTCAGCCGTATGTTGATATTGAATCACCAGGTCTATCGGTTAGCATGTTCTCTCATGCACACACGCTCAAGGGGCGATACGGAATGACACTCAGCTGTTTTTTCAACTACAATAAGATCTTCGCCGACAAGAAGGATGAAAGTCTGAAAATAAACGAGATCGTCCTTCGCAGTCACAAGCAAATCCTTCGTGAAATTTTAGCTCAAACATAACCACCCTAATCGAGGTAAAAATTACGTCGGCAAGGTACTCTCTGTATTATCAAGAATAAATGCCGTTCATTGCGGTTATTTTGTGAAGCTGTGATTTCGTGCCGTTGGATTTTGCACGTGGGCTACCTTTTTCCTTTCGAATACGCGTGAGCGAAAGACAGGCGTGAAACACCTGCTGCGCCGGTTCATTCGGATGCAATCGGCAGTATCGGCAGGGACGCATTCCACTCCACACAATGAGTCAGCAGTTGGCGAAACAATGAATTGCTTGCCGCCCATGCAACATGTTCGAACACCAGCTTTTCATTCCCTATCGTTGATTGGTTGATTTACAGTGCGGAGGCAGCGTTGTCTAAAAGTCGTTCTCTGATTGGTCAATCGAAGACTGATCGAAAGTAACCGCGTGTTTAGTTCACGCTTCGCCATTGCAACCGTTGGCGGGCTAGATGGTGGTCTTGGGTGCCGGTGATTTCGAGGTGCGCCGTTTTATCGGCCGAGGTTGCTATTCTATTGTGTATGAAGTCGCCAAAACAACAGGACCGGATTCCGGCTCTCGTTATGCACTTAAACGGTTTTTCCTGGAGAACGATTCAGCTGTAAAATGTGTACTGCGAGAACGCCACATACTGGAGCGGTTGGCAGTGGCTGATTATCAAAGTCCGTTCCTACCAGTGCTGTTCTACAGCCTGTGGTATAACTATTCTTCCGCTTTTGTGCTTCGTGAAGGCGCTGGCTGTGATCTATATGATTTACTGTGTCACGTTGGATATCTATCAGAAACAAATGCTCGATTTTACGTTGCCGAAGTGGTTTGTGGGTTGGAACACTTACATTCACTCCAAATTGTTCATTTGGATATCAAACCCGAAAACATTTTGTTTTATCCGAATGGCCACGTATTTGTTTCCGACCTGGACCGTTCGTATGATCTGACGCGCGAAGGCAAGCCAACGTTGGATGATTTTACCGGTACTCCCCTGTTTATGGCACCAGAAATTGCCAAAGGAGAGGCGATCGATGTTCGCGCGGACACATGGAGTTTAGCTGCACTTGTGGCTGAAATGGTTTCGGGTCCGATACGTCCGGATGCAGAAACAACCACACAGGATTTTCAGCGGGCCCGGAACGGGACATACAGCATTCGTGGACTGAAGTCATTGTCAAAACCTCTACAATCCTTTTTTTCTGCCTGCTTCCAGAAAAATTACAATCAGAGACCGTATTTGTGCGATGTAAAGAAACTTCGATTTTTAAAGCCGGTTGATTGGATCAAAGTTCTCAATCGACAAACGAAACCACCTTACCAGGCTTCGGAGATCCGCCATCGTCCTGCAAAGGAGGACAGTGGCCCACTAAAATCCACTGATCAGCGTGTCCTTTCAGGTGCTTTCAGTCCTCATCGACCTGTTGAATTCGCCTCGAGTCGCAAAAAAGCAAACAAAGCATCCAAGACTCCATCTCCGGAACCTGTTTCTGATCCCCGTTTGTCTGCAGTCATCACACCGAATCTGCGTGAGCACGGATACACCCTGGAGTCTTTGGACGAAAAGTTCCAATCTTTCAATTTCGCCCACCCATGTTTGAGAACTGGTGATGTGGAGAACCACGAATTAGAGGTCAAAGTGCAGAATGGCCTCTCTCGTATGGGCCTGTCCGAATCAAATCATCAGCCTAATAAACCGGTCGAGATAGAAACCCTATTTACTGGTGACATGAAAGTCGTTGAACCCGAAACGACCAATTCTCCGGGCTTGTTCCGCCGAGCTCGTCGTCGTGGTCTATCTATTGGAGATTGACTAGATGGACGGCTTGTGAAAATTCGGCAATCCGGTGCATCCAAACAATCTAAACACTACAAACAGACAGTCGTGCTTGAGCCGCAGATTTCTGGAATTCGATCTCCTTTTTCTTATCGTCCATATCCGATTTATTTATCCCTAATGAAAAGCTTTTGTTTCCTGAGGCAGAACACTAGCTGCTACCCGGCAGAATGGAACAGCTTTGTTTTTCTCCTGTCTTATTATCCTTATCTGCATGCCATTCGGAAGATTATCGAATATTATTTCTATCATCGATTGCGCCATAGTTAGTTTTGTTTTCGACTATTATTACCTGATGCTAAGCGAGTACCATGTATGGATGGAGTATAGCTTTCTCGTTCCATAGTTCACCTCCTAAGAACGGGTACAAATGGCAGATGCTATTTTGTTCACCTACAATTAAAAGTCGCATATGGCTGTATCCTTTACGGATGAACCCGGTAGTGATTTCTCCATGAAAGCCGGTCGGTGAGTTGTGGCTAATCTGCTCTACGTAAGTTTAATCCGAATAGGTGTTGTATGATGACGAGCCATTGTTACTGACCACTTCACCAGAACATGACATCGTTGTACAGTACGGCTTCTTTACTAGTGTGAACAATAAGAGAGATGAGCCCCACAGTCGTCCGTGGAAACTACCGAGAGCCCTAAGATAACCATAATTTACGGTGATTTTGAAACATTTTTGTGCAGGTCGAATAGTTTTATACCCATGCAACAGCTTTACTATCGTACCGTGCAAGCCCTATCACCACCACATGGCCTTCCTTTTACATTCGCTGTAGTTACCCGTTCGAGCGCAAGTCAAGGAATTCTGAATGCACTGGTAGGCAAATTTTCAGCATTTATTCTCATGATGTAATTCTTTTTTTTGGCGGACAAGAGCTTTTCATTGAATTATTCTTCCAGTCGAATGGGAGCGGCAATTCACAAAGTTCGAACATAATGATACTGTTACCCGCAAAACGTTCGGGCTTATTATTTCAGGTCTTGTCTAGTCCTGGTTGCGACTCATTTACAACTCGGGACTACAAACGCCGGTGTTGCGATTATTCGTGTCCTGGGTCCAGGAATGCATATTTTGAGCCAAAATTCTACCTAGTTGTGTTCCTGTGGTTGATCACTCGAAATTCCCTCCTTACTAGAGAGAAAGAGGGAAAGAACTAGCAAAAAATTAATTCTATTTCTATGGAAATCTCTTGTACTACATTCCCAGGAGTATTCATAGTGTATACTTTTCTTCTTGCAATGAGCCCGTAAGTAATGAGGCGAGTTACCTTAATCTTATCAGCTCTGTGTGACACATCGGTTACCTTTGCATGATACTTTTGCAGTTGTGAACACCGTATCCTAGATTTGAGAATGCGTAAGCCGCGTAAAGTGAAGCAACTGCTACTACTTTCATGCTTGAAAATTGTGCAGTTTGATTCCAACGGTATATATTTTATATTTAACACCGGCTTGCTGACAAGCATGGTGCCAACGCCACAACAATAATAACGACAACAACGGGGTGGGAGATCAGGATACAACATAATTTGATCTTGCATCCGAGCCTTGAAGAAAGGAAAAGCAGCTGGATCGGACGGGCTTCCTCCCACCCTTTTCAAGATGGGGGGTGGTGACCTCGTAGACACCATTACTGATATTATGCGTAACATCTGGTTGCACGAACGCATTTCATCATCGTAGAGCGAATCACTGATTATTCCAGTTTTTAAGAAGGGATCTCTCAACGACTGCGCAAACCACTATGGAATACTTTGGATTCCAATTGTCACCAAGTTACTAGCTTCCATCATACTTATGTAGCGGTTCTTCAACCGACAGATTCGCAACGGCAGTTTTCTCTTCTTGATAGATCCATTCAAGCTGGACGTGGTCATCAAATCACGTACCAGAAGTACTTTCACTCTACGCTGGTGACTAGCAGCAGGATAGGTTCAGCTTCTAACCAGTCCTGTATAATTGAGGACTATCAAGGCATGGTACATAACCATGGCATACCTATCAGAACCATTAAGGTTCAGAAATCAAGTAGCGACTTAGCTTATCGATCAGGTAGCTAAACTACCGTCAGGCTTTTCCCTTCTTCCTTAAGGACCCTTATCCACCGGACACGATCAAGCGTACCGTCGAGATTTAGCATTTGTCGCCATTAGTTGGCGATAGCTATCCTCCGAGGAAAGTTTCTCTATTGGATAAAGCAACTTGGACATTTCCAGGATTAAGTTTTACTTCAACTATTAGCGTTCTTTTAATGAACTCGAAAAGCGTGCACCGACACAATTCCCCACGGTGAGCTCTGTATCGCACGCTTTCGTTGATTTGATTAGATCTACTTTCAGGTTTCCGCTGCCGTTGCTTAA